TTCGTAGTGACCCCCAAGGCGGCGATGCGATCCAAGAGCTCGTTTACGGAAGAGAGCTCCATTGGATCTAACTGCTCGACGAGTTCCGAGCTGACATGAAGATTGCTTTTGATGACCCGAGAGGTCACCGTCGGCGCAACGGCCGAACAGGTGGTCATGGTAAAACCGCCTAGCTGGAGAGTTTGGCCGATAGCCAAGGCTCCCTTAGTAACGGCGTCGTCTTTAAAGACGGGAAGAGGCATCCTTCCTGATTGCGACGGCACAGAGGAACTCTCAATGAAAGCACCAATGTCGGTGTCAAAACCGGCGGATCTCGGGTAGGGGGTCCCGAACTGTGCGTCTAGGCCGGATGGTAACAGGAGGCAAGGAACACGATGTTTTACCCAGGTTCGGGCCCTCTTGATGGAGGTAAAACCCTACGTCCTGCTTGATTAATATTGCTGATATGGGTAGTACAAGAGTAGATCTACCACGAGATCAAGGAGGCTAAACCCTAGAAGCTAGCCTATGGTATGATTGTTGTATGATGAAGTTGTCCTACGGACTAAAACCCTCTGGTTTATATAAACACTGGAGAGGGTTAGGGTTACACAAAATCGGTTACAATGGTAGGAGATCTTGACTATTCGCATCGCCAAGCTTGCCTTCCACGCCAAGGAAAGTCCCATCCGGACACGGTCGAAGTCTTCAATCTTGTATCTTCATAGTCCTGGAGTCCGGCTGAAGGTATAGTCCGGCTACCCGGACACCCCCTAATCCAGGACTCCCTTAGTAGACGTTGCACCCACCTACACCTTTCTACACCGTGTAAGGTCTAGATGATCAACCTACTGCGTGTGATCAAGAACCTTTCTACTACGTGACACCTCATGCGGGGCAACAAGGCATGCCTGGTCCTGGCAAGTGTTGCACACGACGTCTCCCCTGATAGATGAAGTCATGCCTCATGTTGATAGATCGAAGGTGGTGCAACAACGGCTGGAGGCATGGCAGTATTGGGGCGCCGCCAGTTCCCAGTTTCCCCTCTAGATGCATTTGGTTAGCGATGAGTCGTGTGCCGGACAGGTGATGATGGTAGAAGCGTCTACATCGAGTATACACACTCTGATGAAAAGCATTTGCGGCAATGTCCATGCGCACTCTCTGTGTCGTGTCCTTGTTGAAGGTGGTGGCTTGAGGTTCGTCTTTTGGGATGAGAATCCTGAGCTCCACGTCCGACCGGACTCGTCATCATCTAGGCACGTGCGAGAATTCCTTCTTGAAGGCTTTGATCAGAAGTTATGTATTTTCTCTTTGTTTTTGTCTTTGGTCATAAGATTAGTGGTAGCCTAGGGGAGGTACAGTCGGAAGGCATTCGGCCTCAGCTGTGTTTGTCTTGTACCTTCGAACATGCATTAATAATATGGTTGAGTGCATCACTAGATGTAGAGGCCGGGGCTTGATCCCCATTTTGAGGCCGGTGACTTGCCAGTAATCGTCTGTGGGCCGAAAAGTAGTGGTTGTGGCCTTCTTGGGACCCAAGAGACGGTAGCCTCCCAGGGTCTACTTTTCCTCGCAGTCGGTGGCGATTGCGGACGTAGCTTCGTGTCGTGGCGACGGGGGGCGTCCAACGCGGAGCTGTTGACGTCACCGGTGCCCTGCTCAAATCCCTCCTCCGTTGCGTCAATCTCGACGAACATGGCTTCTTTCTCCACCTGCAGGACGCGGTGCCGCCATCGGTCGCATCAGATTTGGCGGGCAGCAGCGTAGGATAGAAGCATCGCCTTCTGCGCGTCCACGTCTACCACAATGCCCGTGCCGATGACTTCCTCCTCTGCATGCCTCTGGTCGGCCTACTTCTCGTGGAACGAGACCTCTGTGGAGAAAAGTGAGAAAAATGAAAAGGATTTTTTTTACGAATCTTCATGCAAGATCAAAGTAATATAGCATCGACTGAGACATAACGAAGTCTTAAGTCGACGGAGACTTAGCAAAATTGTAACTGTAAAGAGTTCAGTCAAAACCGTCACGTTGTTCCACGAAAGCGCGGTGCAGCTCATATAAAACCCCCTCGAGGCCTCGACAAGGCTTTTTGATTATTTACCGTGAGGCACTGTTAAAAAATTCACCGAATTTACTGGAAGAAAGTCAATGCCACCCCCTCAAACTAAATGCCCGTCTCGTGGCTCCTAGAATCGGGGGTTCAGAGATCGCCGGTGGTTTTTTTTGTCGGCTCTCCTGCAGGACAGCGAGGGGCGGCCCGTGATCCGACTCACGGGCGGCTAAAGCCCAGCGTGTCTACTCCTGCGAAAGGCGAGCAGACCATTTGGCATCCACTACCATTTTATGAGAGGTTGAAGACCAGCGGAAGTTTGATGAACTGCGTTTGTTCATAGGACGGCGACACACGGCAATCTATGGTAATATCCAACAGTGTGGTCTTTTTCGAGTTCATAGTCCAAAGCTCACCACCGGCCCTTGGGTCTGCAACAGGTACTTGCCCACGCCAGTAAAATCACATTGTTCAGTTTAGTGCAGTGAGCAGTCTGAAAATTTTGTTTTTAACGACTTTAGGCTTCAAGCGGGATACTGGCGCTACATTATGTGAGGCAGTGGATGTGGACAAAGGCTTTATCGCCAGTACGTATGCAGAAACCCTCATATCAAAAAGACGAATAAAATCAACTACAGCATGAGCGATTTTTCTGATGTGTTGTATGATCTATTTTCACAACAGTTAGGAGATGAGATCGACCATTCCAGGATGATCCTTCTTTATGAAGGTTTGGTATTAGCTGGGAACATCAGGCAACTCCCTGCAAAATTCAAGATGTGCCAGATAGATTGTTGAGAAAGGAGCAATAGCTTGGTCGGACTATCACTATTAGCATCGCCACAATCAAGAAGTCAGAAGGGCGTCATCTGCAACGGCCTTATCAAGCGAACCGTGGCCATTCCCATTATCAAAGAACTTATCAGAGACTTGTAATTTTTCCTGTAGGTTCTGTAATGTGCATTTTATGGAACTTTTTTCGTATGCTTAGAGTGTGTTTTGTATCGTGGTACGGCTTGATACTTCCCTCTGGAAGGATTTGAAACCATGATGATATTTGCATTCGTGTTTCCAAGACATAGAGTAGTGCGAGACATATTTCAACTTGCTAGAAGGACGATTGTTATGACCAAGTTTTACAGATAAGAACAGGTAGTAAAATAGGCAGAAAAAACCTAGTGGGGAAGCATAATAGATAGACCTTCCGGCAGGTCTGTAACCGCCGGTGTTTTGTTGACCTGCAATATTCCGCTGAGTGACATCTTGATCGACATTTATCCGTTGAACAAGCACTTGTAATGGTCCTCATCAACGATTGTGAAGAGGTTACCCATAGCCACATGAGCTCCCATAACAGACATGAGACAAAAAGTTGTTAAGCACATAGATATGTTACCTGCTAGGCTGCTACTCCCTCTGTTTTAAAATAGATGACTCAACTTTCAAGTGAGGCAAATGAGGCATCAATTTGAGATTGGATCAGAGAGAAGAAAGCGTCGTTCTTCAACTCACTGTTCAGGAGTCGGACGACCATCGATAGCAACAGAAATAAATAGGAAACACACTCGAATTTCTAAGCTAAAAACCGGCACCTACATAATGACTGGATGGTAGAGTACTCATAGCACATGCAACCTGTTGGCGCCATTTGGAGCAGAATATGATTGCTCATGGGCAGCTACGGCCAAGTCCCTATGACAGATATCCGATTGCTTCTCATTGTACTGTAGAAACGAGTAGCTCGGTCAACAAGAATACGTGGCATGCTTACTACTAAGACCCAACAGAAACGTGGAACCTGCTTTTTTCTGAAGATCCAAGTTACGATATACTGCAACAGTACTCCACATTTTTAACTGCCTTCTTCTGAGGGGGTGTTTGTTTCCAGGGACTTTTTTATGTAGGGACTAGAAAAAGTCCCTCTTAAAGACTTTTTTACCAAACGGGAAGGACTTTTTAGGAACTAAACTAGGCATTTGGGACTAAATGAAGAAGACTCTCAAGGAGAGTCTTTTTTGGGACTTTTTGAGACTTTTCCAACAATGCCCCTCCATGCATTCAATGGCCCGCCACCTCATGGTGTTGTTTGATTGTTATTTTTCTATATACTAGGGGTAACATGGTCATTTAATAACCTCTAGGAAGGGATTAGGGACTTTTTAGTCTCTGAAAACAAATAAGGAGGGACTTTTTAGAGACTAGAGACTTTTTAGTTGGGACTAGAAAAAGTCCTAAGACTTATGAACCAAACAGGGCCTGAGTATGCAACAGAAACCGACAGAAACAACATTTATACTCTTTAAACACTTTTGGCTGCAATCCACCTGCCTTTTCGGCGGGACAACCGAGTTCCTCAACTGATTAAAACGGCGCCGAACCGTTTGACTTCGTGAGACCAAAATGGTAGGATTAATATGCCCGGACCAACAGGACTCAGTTCTGAACTTTTAGTAAAGAGGTAATAGCACCCCAAGTACCCTAATTTGCATGGAATGTGATGATTTAGTCCCAAACTTGTAAAATGCAACTCCACCATACCCCAACTTGCACTAGATGTGATAATTTAGTCCCCAACCTATCACAGCTTGACAAGTGGCAGCCAGGTGGCTTGACCGGTCTTCGTCCACACTTTTGTAGGAAACACCCTGCCATCTTCTCTAATTAACCCACGGTGCTGGATGTTAAGGTGCAGCTAACTGCAGGAAACACCCTGCCGGGCCACAGCTGCCGCCGGCGCCCGCACCGCAGCAGCACGAGGAGCAAGGTAATGATGGTCAGCCCCCTCCCATTGCTTTCTGGCCCTGTCTCTCTCTATTGCACCAGCTTTTAGCGCTTAACGTTAATCTTTTATTATCTGTGATCTGAATCTTGCTGCTGATTTGGTGAGACTCTTGTGCTTCATGCAGAGCGGGAGATAGGCGCTGCCGCGCCTGAGCCCGTCGTCCAGTACACGCCGTCGGAGCCGCTGATGCCGTCCCCGCCCTCAGTCAACGGCGCCAATGTCAGTGCCAGCACCAGCAGCGTCTGGGCCACGTCGCAGAGCCTCCTCGGCAGCATGTTCATGCCGTCTTCTATGGCCTAGGCGCCGCAGTACCCGGAGCGTGTTGGCGCCGCCTCTCGCAGCGCCGCTTCTTCTTCTACCTCAAGCTGCGTCTCACAGCGATCTCTCTCTTTTATGGTTTCTCTCAAACACACATCATGGAAGAAACTCTCAGGAAACACACCCACACCCACGCATGGACCAAGGAAGAAGGAGGCAATAGCTTTGCCAAGAGACACCTTCCTCTTGGTCAGCCGTGGCTACATCTTTTTCTCAGCCCTCACGGCCTTCTTTCTCATTCACTCAAAGCAACATATATACACAGAGAAGGTTTGCCTCACGCACAACCCGGCCAGACCACTAAGTCACGTACGCATTAACCGGCCACTAGACCAGGCCACTAACTAATCCACTACATGCACTCACGCACTAGCTAACATGCATGGCTCACGTCCACCACTTGCGCCGTGACTTGGCCTAACAACCTGCGGCATTACGTACTAACAAACTCACCCAGCTAGTACTCGTACAAGACGAGTTGGCTTCAACCTTTCCATGCAGCGCAGTCTCATACGGCCTAGCCACTTCAGGGTCCAGGAAGCATCCGGCATCTCACCGTCTACGTCGCATCGCACGACCATCTCCGGCATCTCGCCTTGCATCCCTGTTGAACCAAAACTCCTACACCCGTACAGCCGCACGGCAAACTGGTTGATCACCTAAACTACATGCATGATGAAAGCAAACTAAATATGCAGATACATACATCAAGATTAAAGCTAACAGAGCGCGCACTGGCCGCCAAGCCCCCGTTGCTGTGCCTCGCGATCGACGCCGCGTCTGCCCAGTTCTCGGCCCCCGCAGCTGACAGGCAGCAGCAGCTCCCGCCGCCGTCGCCGTCCCCGTCGGCACACATGTCCGCCACGGCGCTGCTTCAGAAGGCGGCGCAGATGGGCGCCACCTCGTCGAGCTCCTCGTTCCTGCGTGGGCTGGGCCTGGACATCTCGTCGTCGTCGCCGATGTCGACGTCGTCAGGTCAGCATCAACAGCAGCACCACCACCACCAGGAGCCCATGCAAATGGAGTTCCCGGAGGGGTCGCTGCAGCAATGGCCGCCGCGGTTGGAGCCCGAGCCAGCTCCGATGATGTCGGCCGGGCTGGGCCTCGGGTTACCATACGACTCTACCGACGGTCCGATGGGGTTGCCAGAGCTCATGATGGGCCAGTCATCGCTGTTCAGTGCCAAGTCAGCCACGCTGGACTTCCTGGGGCTCGGGATGAGCCCCACAGGCGCAACGACGAGCAGGGGCCTCCCTGTGTTCATGCAGCCCATGGGCGGCGCGGTCGGCATGGCCCGGACCGGCAGCGGCGTGGCGGAGACGTTCGGCTTCGGCCGGGGTGCTCAGGCCAAGCCGTGGGAGAGGAACCCGAGCAGCTCGCCGATCCTGTGAAAGGACTGCTGGGCAGTAGTAACACGTAGCACAGCAGCTGTAAAATGCTATTTGTGTCTAATTAGCAGCAGCTAGTCGTCAGTCCTTCGCGGTTCTTTTGTTTCTTATTCCTAGGTTACAATCAAGTACGTAAGTTACTTTTGTTCCTTTAGGCTTCAGCTTAGTAGTACAAACGCCTGCCCTGCCCTGCCCTGAAGCAAAGTTTCTTTTCAAGCTCATTCACAGATCAGTCCAGTGAGTATGCCCCAAGCTTAGTATTCACAGATCAGTGTGAGCCATGATAAGCATTCAAAGTATGCCCCAAGTGATTTTGGGCCTGCATGCATCGTCACCGGATAGGCACAATATTCTCCCCCAGCTTGCTATGGTTATGAATGCTGCTAACTTATGTGGGTGCCAGGTGCATGCATGGGTTGGTGACTCATGCTTTAAGTAGGTTATCTCAGTCACCTTGGTCAGGTGTTGCATACTTTTGTGGAAGTAGTAGTAGTTGGGTGCATGACGAGCTCCATCAATGGTTTACGGCCGGCCTCATCTTTCAGATAATTGTGGCATCCTAAATTTTATAGTATTGTGGTGGAAATGCTGACTTAAAGGCATCCTAAATTTCATAGTATTTCAGTTAACTGCACCTTAACATCCAGTACTGCGGGTTAATTAGAGAAGACGACAGGGTGTTTCCTGCAAAAGTGCGGTCGAAGACCGGTCAAGCCACCTGACTGCCACTTGCCGAGTTGTGATAGGCTGGGGACTAAATCATCACATCTAGTGCAAGTTGGGGTGTGGTGGAGTTGCATTTTGCAAGTTTGGAACTAAATCATCACATTCCATGCAAGTTAGGGTACTTGGGGTGCTATTACCTCTTTAGTAAAAGTAGCACCCATCAGGCAATGACACAAGATTGCCCGAAGTAGCTCCCTGGCGATCCCTGCCAGTCCAAAAAGGCGCCTGCAACTTTTGCTCTGACAGGGCATGAAAAGTCAGACACTAGGATGCTGTTCCAGGGCTATAGGTCTGTAAAGGTTCAGCTGGGCATTCCTCTTACGACGTGACAAATTCAACAATTCATAAAACCCGAACCACCCAAAAGTGTGAATCCCAAAGCGCATCAACGGTTCCGATAGCAACCACACTAGCTAGTGTTGATAGCAAATCCATGCTCTATATATAGGGCCGAGCAGGTGTTCCCGAACTTCCTAATCACCCACACTATTCTAATCCTGGGATTAGAATAGTTATTTGGATCACGTGACGCCCTATATAGGGCCGAGCAGGTGTTCCCGAACTTCCTAATCACCCACGCCCCCACCGGTCCACCACTTCCCCCGATCCCACGATCCCCCACCAGCACTCTGGCAACCACCGCCCCCTCCCCCCGATCCCATGATCCCCCACCAGTGCTCCGGCAACCACCGCCTCCCTCCCCCCGGATCCCACGCGCCACCGGCGGCCCTGGACCCGGC